CATGACTACTGAAAAAACTATAGCTTTGACTACATGGACCTTCGTTGGCAAAGTGATGTCTCTGCTTTTTAATACACTGTCTAGGTTTGTCATAGCTTTCCTTCCAAGGAGCAAACATGTTTTAACTTCATGGCTGCAATCACATTTAAGTATACCCATATCTTTTGATTTCCAGTGTCCAACCACTGGTGATAAGTGAATAGATGGATAAATGAATAGGTTAGAAATATATTTTAAAAATATAATTCTGAAAATATTGGGTTGGCCAAAAAGTTCATTAAGACTTTTACTAGAATTTTGGCCAACTAATAAAAAGGCCATGCTGAATTTTAGCATTAATATTTCTGGACACTCCCTCCCCCCTTTTTTAATTTCCCTTGTCTTCACTGATTCCCAAATTCTGTGTTTTGCTTTTAATTGGAGGATAATTGCTTTACAATGTTGTGGAAGTCTCTGCCATACACCAAGGCAAATCAGCCATAATTATTTATATGTATGTATCTCCTCCCTCCTGACCCTCTCGCCCCATCCCAGCCCTCTAGGTCGTCATAGAGTGCCAGCCTGGGCTCCCTGTGTTATGCAGCAGCTTCCCGTGAGTGATCTATCTTACACATGGTGGTGTGTATGTGTCAAGGCTAAATTCTCAACCTGTCCTACTCTCTCCTTCTGGTACTGTCCACCAGTCCATTCTTTACCTATGTATGATTTCCAAAACTTTAAGCAACATCTCAGGTGACTCTCAGCCAGCACACAGTACACCATTAATCCTGGGTGAAGGTTGAGACAGAAAACAGCAGTAAAATAGGAGATAATGGGCTGGAATCACCTCTAGGCCAGCAGGGCTTCACAGCGTTTATTTGCTTTCTGGGGTCAGGTGTGATGTCAGGCCCTTTACAAAGAGGCTTTACTAGCATAACCAGCAGCTTCCTATTTGTCTTGAAGGATAAAGGCTAGTGTTTCTGAGAATGAGGGCAGACAGAGGAAGGTCATGACTGGTGTGTACAGACATTACCACAAAAAGATGGGCAACTTAAGAACACTGGTGGTTCTGAAATGGACAATGCAGGAATTCAGGATTCTGTTGAGAAGTATCTTTCGCTGCTCTAGAGCTCTCAAAAACAATTAGCACATCACAGCCCAAGGAAAGAAAACAAAAACAATCATCTGAAACAAAGAGAAGAGCTCCGGAGAGGAGGGGGCCCAGTGGTCGACAGACACATGACTGATGACCAGGACAGGCTGTGACCTGGCACGTGCAGCTGCCGGACCACTCACTGGACACTGCAGGAAGTAGCTGGCCCTACATCTCTGCTCTTGGAGGACTGCAGGAGGAGTCATAAGAAGGCAAGGTGTGAATGTTTAAAAAGAGAAGAGCCATTTCTTGGGAACCAAGAAATAAAGTTCCAATCAATAAAAACCAAGAGCCTGGGGACAGAAGCTGGAGGAACTCAGTGACACGTCTGATGTTCAGTGTGGACTCTTCCCTCCAGAAGAAAGTGGAACACCAGGCCTTTCTGTGGGCTTTGGGGAACATTGTGAGTTCTCTGTGTCTGGCTGTGTGCTCGGAGCATGCACGTCCTGTGCAATGTCACAGGGCTGTCCTTGACGGGAGTGCACACGGTCTGTTCGCTACTCTTGTCGATAGCACTCTGGATTCTCTTAGAAATAAATGAGGACTCTGCAAACTTTGCACAGTTCCTTGCCCAGGAAGATCAAGGGCTTCATATCACTATTTCTGTTACACTAAATTACCCTTCATGTACATTTGCACTCACTACTGTGTTTATTATCCATGTTCCAGACACAGACAGGAAACATGGAGCTTAGTGATGAATGTGCCAAGCATAGATGGAGAAAATGCATCATTTAACTTGGTGAATAAACACACCGGATTCCATCACATGATGGAGTATATTATACATCTTCTGTAAAATGCTTGAGATGTAATTTGAAAACTATAGACGATATCTGACACTGGCTGAACTACCCTTGTGCTGTGATCTGATCCTGACACATTATTTGGGTCAGAGGTCAGCAGACCTCCCCCTAGGGCAGAGCAGCCTGTGGCTGGTTTCTGTACAGTACGCCAGCTAAAAATGGCTTTTGTATTTCAGAAGGTTTGGGAAACATTTTTAAATGAAGAATATATGACGGTGACCATCTGGCTCACAGCAGACACGCAGGAACCACCCTGCCTGCTCACCCATCTCTCACTCTGCCCACACCCTTTATATTAGTGCACATTAGCAGAGCGCATCTTAAAGTCTGGACTGTATGATCAGAAGCTCAATCATGTCATTTGTGAGAAGGATCGCTGTCCTTGTGCTTCATCGCCTGCCAAACACAAGCAAAGTATAAACAACCCACAACATCAAGTCCAAACCAGGTATCTGGCTCACAAGGGCTCTGGGAATCAGGGCTTTGTGATAAAGAGTTACTCTCCCTGTAACATGGGGACCTGAAAGCTGAGGCCTCTGAGGCACCAGTTTAACTGGATCTTTAAGATAATACAGAAAATTTCAGTTCTAATTTAGCTTCCTTCCAAGATGAATAAGATGAGAGCATTGATAAGGGAAACAGCTGCCTGGAGGAGCCTCTTGCTTGAAGGCAGGAAATGAAGCCTGAAGGGCAGCAGATATGCCCTGCTTTATCAAGGAGCATAAAAACCAATAACAGGTTTTCTGAGAGAAGTAATTTAAAAGGTAAAGGAAAGGAAGAAAAGCAGGCTGAGGTTCTCTGCAACGACCCGCCCATCTGGCTGGTTGCATGTTCTCACTCACAGGCGAGGGACAGTGTAGATGCCTGTTTGCTGGGTCCTGCCCAGCACTGTCCGAGCTCTTGAACTGTCTCAACAATTCTGAGATCTTCCCTGGTGGTCCAGTGGATAAGAATTCTCACTGCAATGCAGGGGGCACTGGTTGGATCACATGCTGAGGGTCAACTAAACCCATGTGTCAAAACTACTGAAGCCCACAAGCTCTAGAGCCTGTGCTCCATCCACAGCAAGAGAGCCATCACAATGAGGAGCCTGAGCTTCTGGGATAATAGTCCCCACTTGCTACACCTAGAGAGAGCCCGCACAAAGCAACGAAGACCTAGTGCAGCCAGAATAAATAAACAGATTTTCAAAACAGAGATCCTTTTTTATGAACCAGACATAGGGAGATTAGGATGCCCTGCCTATCAGGTGATGTTTTTCTATTAAAATGCTGTGCTTCTAGGATGCCACCAGTAAAAAGTCTATGAAAGGAGAGCTAAGAAGATTCTGTCAGAAGATATAACATCTTCAATGGAAAAAGAAAATCATTCTCAGATGCCTGTCTTAGAAAGTCATTAATGTGCATATTTCTCCCCATTCAAAGTACTGATCGAATGCGGCCTGGACAGGTATCCTGCTGGGGGTCCCGGGGCAGCACCCTCATGGTCATAAAGCTAGCAGTGGGGCCTGAAAAGACCTGATGCCGACCCTCGGATTTACATCTCCCTCAGTTACTAAAAGGTACATTTTTAGCAAACATTTAAAAATATTATTTTGCACATTTTTTTCTACTTTTTTTTTTTAGAGAAAAGTCAACATCCGAGTGCAGATAGGAAATGTGTAAGTTGTGTTTTTTCCTCTGTCAGAATAAAAGGCATGATGTTCAAACCATCAAGAAAAAACTACACCACCTCCAGAAGACAACTGAAATATTAATTGATATATTACAACATTCAGTCAGTTCAGTTCAGTCGCTCAGTCGTGTCTGACCCTTTGCGACATTAAATATATATTAAAAGTAATAAATAAATTAAATGGATATTAAAAGTGGGCTCCTAGTGCCACACAGGGGTATTTGTCCACTTATTTATTTGCTTGATTCCAGTTTTCAAGTCCATTCACGGTCCTGTCCAGGGACTCAGCTCCTAGAGGTCAGAGTTTGGAAACCTTTGTTAATTCTGTTTTCAGCCCTTGTCCTGGTTCAGTCTGCTGTTTAGGTCATGGCTTATGTCCTGGGCAATCTGATCTGAGTGCCAAGGACAGGTAGCCCATGGGGCTGTTCTCTGAGCAATAATCCTACTTCATAGGCAGAGAGTAATGAAACATTCAAAGAAAATGAGAAGCATTTCTTCTTTTGAAAGAAAAAGAACTCTTCTTGGGAAAAAAAAATCATTCCTAATGAAACAAGCTCATTGGATCTTATGTTTATCTTACATTAAAGAAGAATTTCGGGAGGTACAACATAAATGATGCAGGCTAGGTGTCTGATTAACTTCTTGTGGTTAAAAAGACATACAACATTGTGATAAATATCTATTATTGTCTCAGAGAGCGATACTATAAAGTCTAATATCTAATGAAAGCTGAGAAACAAGGAAATCCATATGAGGTTCCATTCATAAAATGTAATTAGCTATCAAAGACCAATATATTTCATTATGCATATAAATTTTGATAAGACAAAACTATGAAAATTTCAAAGTCCTCAATTAAAATTAAAATGCCTTATTTGGAAATATGATTTTTATGCACATGGGAGATAAAATGGGGAAAAAGGCATGAGATATTGAAATCAACTCTAACAAGTCCTAGCTTTATGTGACCAAAAGAAAATGAAATATGCAGTGTGAGGCTCAATGTATGAGTTTTTAATCTAAGAGAAGGGAAAATGAGCTTCAGTAATTGATTTTTTAAAATTTATACAACTGTCAAGAAAACTCTAAGTTGGATAACATAGTTTTTAATTTTAAAATGAAATATAAGTCAAGTATTAAGGTAACTTTACACAGCATCTAGTGAGTGTTCAAACCATCCTATAAATTCAGGCTATAAAGCTCAATCAAGCCTAGTGCAAATGTTAGAAGTGTTTGCACGGTCAGTAGAAAGTTTAATTTGTACTTTAATGAACTCACATTCAATTTTCCCTTACCTTTTAATCCATAATCACAGCTCCGGTAAGTTGTGATTAAAATAAGAGCAATAAATTGAACTCAAGTTTGGGAATGAAAAACACTTTTCTTACCCTGGCAGAGTGGAGCAAGGGAATCCCACTGATACATGCCAACTGGATTCCGTCTACAGGTGGCATTGCTATGGCCAATCATCCGATACCCAGGTTTGCAGAAATACTGCACTTTACTTCCAATTTCTCCTGTAGTCCTATTTAAAACACCACCATTCTTCACGGTGTGGGTCAAGCTGCAGTAAGGTGCTGTGGGCACACAAACACACATACATAAACAAATAAATAAATGTTGAATTTTGCTTGCTAAGAGACATATAAATGAAAGAGAGTCTCTCTATTGTTAAAATAGTGGGAAATCAGCACTGATACAGAAACTTTACTAAAAGCATCTTCAAGTACAAAAATGTTGTAGATGTGGATGCAAGGGTGTGGAGCAAGAGGAACTCTCATTCATTGCTGATGGGGATCCAAAATGGTGCAGCCACTTTGGAAGACAGTGTGGCAGTTTCTTGCAAAACTACACACACTCTTATCATGTGATCCAGCAATCATGCTCCTTGGCAGTTACCCAGAGGAGCTAAAAACCTATGTCCATACAGAAACCTATGCCCAGATGTTCATAGCAGCATTATTCAGAGTTGCCAAAACTCAGAAGCAACCAAGGTGCCCTTGAGTAGGTAAGTGAATAAACCAACTGTGGTCCATCCAGACAATGCAGTATTATTCAAGGCTAAAAAGAAATGATCTGTCAGAAGCCATGGAGAGACATGGAGGAGCCTTAATTACATATGATTAAGTGAAAGAAGCCAACCTAAAAAGGATAAACACTGCATGATTCCAAACTTATGACATTCTAGAAAAAGTAAAACTCAGGAAAAAGTAAAAAGATTAGTGGTTTCCAGAGGCTGATGGGGGAAGGACAGTGAAGCATGAAGGACTTTCAGCAGTGAAAATACCATGCATGAATCCACAATGGTGGATTAATGTCACTTTACATTTGTCCAAATGCACAGGATGTTCAATACCAAGAGTGAACCCAGTGGGAGCTATGGACCTTGGGTGATAATGATGTGTCAGTGTAGGTTAACAAATGTAGCCTCTGCTGATGATGTGAACAAGGAGACAAAAGCCAAGGAGTATGGGGGAAATCTCTGAAACTTCCTATCAATTTGCTGGCTTCTTAAAAAAAAAAAAATTCATGTATAGCTGAGTCACTCTGCTCTGCACCTGAAATGGTCACAGCATTGTTAATGGGCTATACTCCAGTACAAAATAAAAAGTTAAATAAATAAATAATCCAAAAAAAATTCAAAAGTTATCATTTTAAAAAAAGCCAAGAAATCTAGACCTAAGGGTCAAGTCTCTTGAGTTAGAAGTTTAGATTATCTACAACTGTTAATCAATGTGGTGGTAAAATTCTGACTTTCTGACCAAAAAAAAAAAGTACCACGAAAATGGAGAAAATTTAAGAACATAATATCTTTCAATCAAGGCCATTAATTTTTCCCTTGTTGTTAAATGAATCCTGAGAATTGTACCATGAGGTAGCCTCTTTTTAACACGTAGGATTTGAATACCATCTTTGAAGAAAATGTACTACTTCATGTTGATGACCATGTTACAATAGCTTTAGTCATCACATTTGCAGGGAGACTTGTAAAATTAGAGACAGGAATTGTGAAAATCAGTCTTACCTGCACAGAATCTAACCTTTCAGTGGCTGAAGGCTCTGCATCTTATTTACACATTTAGAGAAAGAAACTCAGTTTACTCTTACAAGACCAGTTTCACCACAGCATAAAATCCTACGAACCCCCTTCAGATGAATAAAACACTAAACTAAAGAAAGCTGTGAAGTCCTGGAAATCCAGGGTTTCTTTTGAAAGAGGAGGTTTTAAATGTCCCACTCCCCTGTGGGGGTTCCACACAGAAAGCACACACACACAGGTCTGAAGGCTTAATGCCAAATTTTTCCTTAGAAATAAATTCAAAAGGACCCTTCTGAAGACTTCACATCATAGCACTGCTGAGAAGTGATGTCTGTGTGTCTGGCTGGGTTGTCAACCATGCTCCTCTGAGATGAATCCTCAGAGAATAGTCTCAGCCAGAGGGTCTTCTGAAGTGCTGTTTCATTTTTTGTTTTTAACAGACTCATTTTTATTAAGGTAAAATCCACTAACTCTTAGAAGAAACTTGTATCTTATTGGTCATGGCATTTTCTGTGTTCAATTGTTTGAGATGATCTATTTTAAGTTTTGAATGAACCAAAATATTTGGTTTAGGGAAGGTATGAGTATAATCAGGCACCTCAGCTACCAACTACCCAGAATTATTGTGTCAATAAATTAAAATAATAATAAAAAGTAGGAAGACCAAGCAGACTGTTGACCCTGGCCAAGTTTAGAGATAAAGTCTGAAATGCTCCTGAAGGGGCAGTGGGACCACATGGTTCTTGGTATGGGTTTTTGTCACAGTTCAGTCTGTTAAGAGAGAGGAACTGCAGGATAATTGTCCAGCTCTATAGGGTCTAACAGAGCCTTATCTTATTTCTTCAAGAAAATTAGAGATATCAAGGGAACATTTCATGCAAAGATGGGCTCAATAAAGGACAGAAATTGTATGGACCTAACAGATGCAGAAAATATTAAGAAGAGGTGGCAAGAATATACAGAACTATACAAAAAAGATCTTCATGACCTAGATAACCACGATAATGTGATCACTCAGCTGGAGCCAGACATCCTGGAAAGAGAAGTCAAGTGGACCTTAGGAAGCATGACTATAAACAAAGCTAGTGGAGATAATGGAATTCCAGTTGAGCTATTTCAAATCCTGAAAGATGATGCTGTGAAAGTGCTGCACTCAATATGCCAGCAAGTCTGGAAAACTCAGCAATGGCCACAGGACTGGAAAAGGTCAGTTTATATTCCAATGCCAAAGAATGTTCAAACTACTGCACAACTGCACTCATGTCACACGCTAGTAAAGTAATGCTCAAAATTCCCCAAACCAGACTTCAACAGACTTCAAACCAGTCTTCAAACCAGACTTCAAACCAGTCTTCAAACCAGACTTCAACTGTGAACATCCAAATGTTCAACGGGGGTTTAGAAAAGGCAGAGGAACCAGAGATCAAATTGCCAACATCTGTTGGATCATCAAAAAAGCAAGAGTTCCAGAAAAACATTTGCTTCTGCTTTACTGACTACTCCAAAGCCTTTGACTGTATGGATTACAACAAACTGGAAAATTCTTCAAGTTACGGGAATATCAGACCACCTTATCTGCCTCCTGAGAAATCCATATGCAGGTGAAAAAGCAATAGTTAGAACTGGACATGGAGCAACAGACTGGTTCCAAATTGGGAAAGGAGTATGTCAAGGCTGTATATTGTCATGCTGCTTATTTAACTTACATGCAGAGTACATCATGTGAAATGCTGAACTGGATGAAGCACAAGCTGGAATCAAGACTGCAGGGAGAAATATCAATAACCTCAGACACACAGATGACACCACTCATATGGCAGAAATTGAAGAAGAACTGAAGAGCCTCTTGATGAATGAGAGAGAGGGGTGTGAAAAAGTTGGCTTAAAACTCAACATTCGGAAAACTAAGATAATGGCATCCAGTTCCATCATGGCCAATAGATGGGGAAACAATGGAAACAGTGAGAAACTTTATTTTTGGGGGCTCCAAAATCACTGCAAATACTGACTGCAGCCATGAAATTAAAAGAAGCTTGCTCCTTGGAAGAAAAGCTATGACCAATTTAGACAGCATATTAAAAAGCAGAGACATTACTTCGTCAACAAAGGACCATCTAGCCAAAGCTATGGTTTTCCCAGTAGTCATATATGGATGTGAGAGTTGGACTGTAAAGAAAGCTGAGCACCAAAGAATTGATGCTTTTGAACTGTGGTGTTGGAGAAGACTCCTGAGAGACCCTTGGACTGCAAGGAGATGAAACCAGTCCATCCTAAAGGAGATCAGTCCTGGGTGTTCATTGGAAGGACTGATGCTGAAGATGAAACTCCAGTACTTTGGCCACCTGATGTGAAGAGCTGACTCTTTTGAAAAGACCCTGATGCTGGGAAAGATTGGAGGCAGGAGGAGAAGGGGACGACAGAGTTTGAATAAACTCCGGGAGTTGGTGATGGACAGGGAGGCCTGGCGTGCTGTAGTCCATGGGGTCGCAAAGAGTTGGAAATGACAGAGCGACTGAACTGATAGGGTTCAATAACTATTTCCTTTCCTACTGACAGTTTCTTCTCTCATCATTAGTTCCTTTCTAACTTATCTAGCACAAGATATAGCCCAAGCACAGGGACATGGTGAGGATGCTGAGTCACTCAGTCATGTCTGACTCTGTGAGACCCCGTGGACTGTAGCCCACCAGGCCCCTCTTTCAGTGGAATCCTCCAGGCAGAAATACTGGAGTGGGTTCCCATTTCCTTCTCCAAGGGTTCTTCCCAACTGAGGGATTGAACCCACATCTCTTAACTCTCCTACATTGGCAGATGGGTTCTTTACCCCTAGCGCACCTGGGAAGCCCAAGGAGACATGGCACAGAAAACAGAGGGGAAGATTAGAACACAGAGTCCTGCCTGTTTGATTTCTGACCATGCTAAGAATTAAAAGGACCACGGTCAAACCCTCACATTCTGCTGGTGCTGCCTTGGAAGAGCAGGTTATGGAGGGTGGCAGTCAAGGAGGTATTAGGGATAGAAGACATGGGTGCAGCTGGCTCTGCTGGGGTCTGGGTGTATTTACAACACCCATTCTCTAGTTCTGACTCTCCCAACACTGAAAGTGAAAGTCACTCAGTCATGTTCGACTCTCTGTGACCCCACAGACTATATATTCCATGGAATTCTCTAGGCCAGAACACTGCAGTGGATAGCCTTTCTCTTTTCCAGGGCATCTTCCCAACCCAGGTATCAAACCCAGATCTCCTGCATTGTGGGCTGATTCTTTACCAACTGAGCCACAAGGGAAGCCCACAACTTATCATTAACTTCCAGGTACTTGATTTAATGGGCTTCCCAGGTTGTGCTAGTGGTAAAGAAACTACCTGCCAAGCCAGGATACTTAAGAGATGTGGATTCAGTCCCTGGGTCAGGGAGATCCCCTGTAGAAGGGCACAGCAACCCACTGCAGTATTCTTGCCTTGAGAATCCCACGGACAGAGGAGCCTAGTGCGCTACATCCAGGGGTCGCAAAGAACCAGACATGACTGAAGCAACTTAGCAAACATGCATGCCCTTGATTTAATAGTGAATGACCATTACTACCTCAACAATTACTTAGCAGTTTATTGAATTAACTTGAACCATGATGTACAAGCACTTGCTTTTGTTGTTGTTGAGTTTTGTTTGTCAATTATGTAGATCAGTTACATGGTTCTTACACCCAATGGCCAATAGTTGACATGCATAAGGCAAAGATTTGTGGTGCAACATGTGGTCATATTATGGGCTGTAGCTCCCTGGCCTACGTGCTATAGTCCAAGGATCACTGCTCTAAAACTACTGGTGATGGACTCCTAGCAGTGGTCATTGAACCATCATCAAATTTTAACTGAAATACTGTTCAAAGGTCTATCTGTATCTATATCTATAGAGAGATACATAGATACGTCCACTCACAAAACAACAGTTTATAGCCTTCTCTTTAAATTCTTCTTTTTCCTGCTTTTCCAACAAAGAGAATCATCTTGTTCTATAATGAATGAAAATACCCTTTGAGTGACAGAATTCAAGGTGTAATCACACCACCAGCCTATTAAGTAATTTGCCACAGATAAGATAAATTATGTTCACCATGATTTCCCCTGCAATGTCCATTTTTGCTCATTAGAAATAAATTCAAACAATTATACAGGCTTGAGTATTTATTTTTCAGAACAAGGAGTATGATGAACAAAAATCCAGTCATTGTCCTAATGATCTCAATACCCATTCCAATGAAGGGATTTCAACTGTGAACTCATTGTTGATAAGTTTTTTGAATGGCTACTTTAGTGAAGGGGAAAAACAAAGATCTAAGCATGTTTTATTAGACTTTATAGAGGAAACATGAGTGAATTTCACATTCTCTGTCTTTCCATCAACAGACACGTCAAAACACTAATGCTTTTTCAAAGCTTTTTATCATTTCATGATACCTACCAATCGGAGAGAGCAAAAATATTCCTAAAACTACTAACACCTTTCTCTGCCCAAAGGATGTTGCCCTTCACTGACAATGTACAACAGACCTGGAGTAAGCAACCCCTGGGAGTTACACTGGTCCATGAAATGCATAGAGCGGGCGTCTAATTCCCTTGGGAAATGGACCTCAGTTGCTAGCATGGATATCGTAGTAACAGTGAGAAAAGGTTAGATATTTTGCTTAGTAATTAAAATATGAGGAGTTTAGATTGTCTGTCTACAGCTTTTGTAGGGCATTATAAACATGAGGTTTTTGGGCTAGCCACATTGAAAGGATCTAATCTCTCAGAAGTATATTAACTGATTTAATTAATATAAAAAAACTACTGAAAATAATAAATTATTATTTATTATAAATAATAAAAATAAATAAATTATATGGGGAAAAAACTAAGTCCTTAAAATGTTGATAAGGAAATATATATGTAGACATTTATTTTGTATATGGTTACGTGTGTGTGTGTGTGTGTGTGTGTGTATAGTATCTTGCAATAAAGAGACATACAAACATATAATCAATAAAAAGACATGCTACTAATCATAAGATGTTATTATTACTTATAAAATTAAATGCAATACAATTATCTCCTCCTGTTTGTCTCCTTAGCTTTTAAACATATTTTAAAATTAAAATATGCTTTATTTATTTTACTATATATTTATGCTATATTATAATATTTTATTTTTGGGGAAAGCATCTCTACTTTCTGTGCCATGCAGTTCAATGGGTTGTGATGCTAGCAAAAAAATATTTATTAATATTAATCAACAGATAGTTTATTTTCCCTCACACAGTTTAGAGATATCACTCAGAGTGATTTCATCATATTATTTCTACTGAAGTATGTATTCATTTTTAGAAATTAGGTTTATAGTATAAACCTTTAATTTTTAAAATTTAATGCAGAACCTTTATATTAAAAACATTTTTATATTAAACCTTAACTTAACTTACTGACCTGAATAACGAATCTTGAATCCTTTTTTACTGGTTGCATGGTCAGTGGACCAGCGGAGATATAACTGATTACTCTTGCTTGTAAAATTTGATTGTTCAGTGTGGTTTCCACTCAAGACCACTAACAGAGGACTTTGACCAGAAGACCCTAAATGAAACAAAAAAAAAAAGCAAATAAGTTATGATATGAATTAGCACCTACAAAATACAGGCTACTTTTAGCTTTTGATTAAGTTGGAGTCTAACTGTACAATATACAGCTATTTATTTCCAAAAGAGACAAAGAACTCCAAATAAATAAAGCAACAGGTACAGTTCCTCATAAAAATAATAATAATAAAAGAAACAATAGCCAACAAAAATAATTTCAGATATATATGCTGTTAATACATAATACTTGAAATGAAAAAGTTACTTATAAAATGGCAGTAATTTAAAAAATGAAAATAGTTCCCACTACTATTAGTATATGCAACATTGAATCAATATAGGGAATTGAATACTAGTAAAAGTACTGTTGTTTAGTCCCTAAGTCATGTCTAATTCTTTGGGACCTTCTGGTCTGCAGCACTCCAGGCTTCCCTGTCCTTCCTATCTCCCAGAGTTTGCTCAAATTCACGTCCATTGAGTCAGTGATGCCATCCAACCATCTCATCCTCTGTGGTCCCATTTCCGCTTTTGCCCCAAATCTTTCCCAGCATCAGAGTCTTTTTCAATGAGTTGGCTCTTTGCATCAGGTGGCCAAAGTATCAGAGCTTCAGCTTCAGTAGTAGTCATTTTAATGAATAGTCAGGGTTGATTTCCTTCAGGATTGCCTGGTTTGATCTTGCAGTCCAGGGGACTCTCAAGAAGAGAGAGCACTAGCACCATAATTTGAAAGCGTTAATTCTTTGGTGCTCAGTCTTTATGGTCCAACTCTCACATCTGTACATAGCTTTGACTGTACGGGCTTCCCAGGTGGCTCAGTGGTAAAGAATCCATCTGCCAATGCAGGAGACATGGGTTCGATCCCTGGGTTGGGAAGACCCCCTGGAGAAGGAAATGGCAACCCACCCTAGGATTCACGCTTGGGAATGGAGGACCCTGGTAGGCTATAGACCATGGGGTCACAAAGAGTTGGATATAGCTTAGTGATTAAACAGCAGCAGTGAAAATAAAAATTAGTACAATCACCTTGGAGAGCAGTTTAGTAATATCCAATACAATTGTAGGTTTTAATTATATTTTTTATAAACTCCAGAATATGTGCACAGTGTTGTTTGCATAGCAAAATGTTTATTCTAACAATTTTTATAGGAAAATTTAGATTCTAACTTGTGGTTTGGAGTTTAAAAAGATATTAAAAGTGTTTTCTAAGAAATTCTACACAGATTAAAAATGATATTGAGAAGTGAAATCTATTTTCAAATAAATACAATAGGATAGCAATTGTGTAAACATTCAAAAGTGTACAATATACAAACTGTGTGTGAGTGTTCATGTCTGTGAGTGTATAGACAGATGATACTTGGTAGTAGATAGACAGACAGATTGATAGACTGATAGAGATAGGAAATGAACCATGAAACATGCACAGGCATGACACTTCACAATATTAAATGCCTCCAGGAGAGGTGCAAAACTGGGTGTGCAAGGAGCTCCTATATTGATCTGAACTTGTTGCTTCTTTGAAAAAAGTACACAAGATAAATCTGACAAAATCCTAAAATGTAGTACATCAAGCAATGAGTCCATACCCATATACATTAAAAAAAACCCTCTGTATATTTAATTTTTAAAAATTGAAAAAAAATAAAGCTAATACTTAACATCGTTAATAGTCAGCTGGCACTATTCTCAGCACCATAAGCTGACACTGTTTGTTGAGACAAGTCACTCTATTGAATTCAGAAGCTGCATCCACACTTTAAGGTCTCCTCCAGGACACCCCTTGATGCCATCTCAAATTCTAACAGGCTTCATGGCTTTCCTGCCAATGCAAGAGACGCAGGAAACTCAGGTGTAATCCCTGGGTCAGGAAGATTCCCTGAAGAAGGAAATGGCAACCCATTCCAGTATTCTTGCCTGGAGAATACCATGGACAAGTGTTGTCTGTGCTGTTTTACTTGTTGTTTAAAGAGATCATTTATATTCTAAAATGAAATGCCACTGGGAAATAAATTCACCTGAATTTATACAATTTTAAAATGTCATTTTTAATGATAGAACTCGAGTCAAGTTTCAGATATTCTTAATCAAACATGTAATCCTTCAATATCTTTCATCTCTTGTCTTTGCCTATCATGTAACAAACTTTCTAAAGGATTATTCTTTAAAAATATACACATCCGTAATGAATAGTAGTACCATCTCTTTTATTAAGGTGAAAATTAGCAAGTTCTGCACAAGTGAAGACTACCATCTGTATTTTGACACATTTCTCAGTTGAGTTCTATAATGACTTAAGTTCTATTTTGTTTTTAAATTGAGGAATATTCACTACTTGAGCCGTGTGTGTGTGTGTGCGCGCGCTCAGCCGCTCAGTCATGTCCAACTCTTTGCAGCCCCATGGACTGTAGCTCACTGATCTCCTATGCCTATGGAATATTCCAGGCAAGAATACTGAGGTGGGTTGCCATTTCCTCCTCCAGGGAATCTTCCTGACCTATGGGACAAACCTGCATATTTTGTGTCTCCTGCATTGGCAGGCAGATTCTTTACCACTAGCACCACCTGGAGCCATGCTGCTGCTGTTAATAAAGCTTAAAATTGATACAGTCAATTTATTTATTTTTTTTGCCAACTCATGAGCTATAAAACAGCCACTGTGTTTCAAAAAAACAAAAGAGATGCGATGAACATGACATTTACTGCAACAAAAATGCCAATGCTTAGAAAATTATTCATATGAAACTCTGACCTTTCATTTTATAGAAAAATCTTTGAGAGTAAAACCAAACCTACTCATAGATCTCTGGAAATTTTGACAACAACTGCTTTTATATTATCTCCATTAGCTATTTTGCTTGTGGTTTATCATGGGCATGATCTGTCTGTATTTGGAGGGAGCTCACACTGTAAATGCTTTGGGCATAAATTATTGATAATGATTTTGCTTCTGAAATTAGAAGAGGTAGAAGCACTGCCAGCTAAACTTCAATTCTACCAAAGTAAAACAAAGGAAGCCACATATATTTAGAATGATTATGTATATATATATAACTACATACAGAATTTATAGGAATACGTATACACAAAGACACACACACAGCCCCTGGAGGTTGGTTGCCTGCCTTTACTATTTGTGACATCTAATCAGCCTCAAAGGCACAGTTTCCCTGGTTCCTCATTGACAAAAGAAGCCTGTTTGTGTACCTGGCTAATGTGTTACTTCTTCCCATCCTAGAGATTAAGGGCCAAGGCATCAATAGTACATGTCTGTTTTAACATGCACTTAAAAACTCTGAAAATGAAAATATTACTCTTCAGTCCTCTGTTTCTACATATATAAGTATGAGTTTAATTTCCAATTTGGCCACTCATCTTTGGAAATCCATAAATCTATTTACTGTATATCCTCAGAAGCAACTTGACTATTATGATTCATCAAGTCAGTAAAAGGCATGCAAACATACACAGAATCAATTACAGTATTTTTTTTCACTGAATTGATTGTTATTTATCTGAACTCAGTGACAAATCCATCAAAACATGTGAAAATCCTATTATTATCTACAGCCATAACTGTATCATGGTCTAATTTTGGGGCTATGATAATGCTTCTGTACAAAGAAAAATTATTAACATCAGTTTCATTTCAAATCAACAATTCAAGCACATACTACGTTTTAGCAGAGCACTGTCATTTTAAAATGTTCATTAGAATTGTACAAAAATGCATAAGACTAACACTGAAAACAGTATTAGCATTTGTTCAGGGAACTATCTCTAAAAAAATTCTACATTAAGAATACTATAGCATTTATCACCCAGAAAACTCTATGAGCCATTACTTTTATATATTTCTAGTAAAACAATCATTTAGACTGATTAAAGTACTTATAGCCCTCTGCCCTCTTAAATTCCCTAAAATATCTTCTAGATCAATATAATCTTAGAAGAAAGGAAAGGAAGAGCTTCGGAAACATCTATACTTTAAAGCCTGATGTCAAAGAATTAAAGAGTGGTTAATGTAAATTTAGTACATTTTTAAGGTGTGTTAAACCAGCATTTTAATGGTTTAAATTTGCAACATTAAGAAGAGCATGGTGATGTTTTTCCTATCACTTGATCTCTGAGACCACACTAGTCCAAGAATAATTCATTTTCCATCTGGGGGGAGATGTAATTTACCTCAAGAATATACTCAGGTTTGTGCATTACAAAATATAACAGGATCCTTATTAAATTATGTATAGATCCCTGTTATGTATTCTTTTTTTGGCTGCACCTAGAGGCATGTGGGATCTTTGTTCCCTGACCAGGGATCCAACCCACGCCCTCCGGAGTGGAAGCTCAGAGTCTTAACCACTGGACCACAAGAGAAGTCCCAAGGTTCCTGGTATGTTAACAAAGTTTGAAGAGACTTACCATCAAATACTTCCAGTGCATCAAATTGCTTCTCACTTTGGAATGTGTCTACAAAGATAGTGATGTTGTAGTTTGGTTCCACTCGGATGCTCCAGGAGCAGGTCTGGGAGTTAAAATAGTTGCCTGGATACCCTGGGCTGAGGATGACGCCAGAGGATTCTGTCCGGACTTCATTGGCTGGGCATTGTGCTAAGGAAAAAAGCACCAAGAAAAGTTTTCTTTAACAAAATCAATTCCTGGGTATGCAAGCTCATGGGAGAAAAGAAAAAGCAATCTTATTGGGTCAACTTGACCAGACTTAGTAGATGATACACACAGAGCCTTTTCATCCTGTTCACGGGGTTCTCAAGGCAAGAACACTGAAGTGGTTTGCCATTCCCTTCTCTAGTGGACCACATTTTGTCACAACTCTCCACCATGACCCGTCCATCTTGGATGGCCCTACACAGCACGGCTCATAGTTTCATTGAGTTAGACTAGTCTGCGGTCCATGTGATCAGTGTGGTTAGTTTTCTGTGATTGTGGTTTTCATTCTGTCTGCCCTCTGAGGGATAAGGATAAGATGCTTATGCAGTGTTGTTACATCAGAGCAGAACCCAGCTCTGGCTCTGCTGCTGTTGCTGCTAAGCCGCTTCAGTCGTGTCTGACTCTGTGTGACCCCATAGATGGCAGCCCACCACGCTCCCCTGTCCCTGGGATTCTCCAGGCAAGAACACTGGAATGGGTTGCCATTTCCTTCTCCAATGCATGAAAGTGAAAAGTGAAAGTGAAGTCGCTCAGTCATGTCCGACTCTTCACGACCCCATGGACTGCAGCCTACCAGGCTCCTCTGTCCATGGGATTTTCCAGGCAAGAGTACTGGAGTGGGGTGCCATTGCCTTCTCTGAGCTCTGGCTCTACTGTACATTTAAAGCAGGTCCAGGGAGATCATAAAACCCTAGGCCCTGTGTACATGCAGACAGAAAAAAAACTCTTAACATTTTACTTTACCTTTTTAATATCATCACATTTCCTTAACTTGAGAATACTCACTTTTGTGATACCCCTCTGTGCTAAAATACACTTAGCCTATGTCTGGGGCCCCTGGTAGGAGTTCCCCAAACCCTTGGAATTTCCTGAGTGCTGGAAGTGTCTTTGCGGCTCCAAAGGCCCCTCCGGGTGACACCTGAGTCTGAGCTGATGAGGTGACTCAGGGTGGGTCTGTGTAGCCTCAGAAGGGCTGGTCACCACAAGCACCCAGGGACGAGAGGGTGGAGACTTTCTGCCCACTCACACACCTGGGGGAAGCAGGGATAGTGGGGCTGGGGTACTGGAGACTTGGTTGCACCAAAGCTCTTAAACAATGCATTTGTTGAGTCTGTGGGTTGGTGAAGGCACACACGGCGGGAGGGTGGGCACCCCAGGTCCTGGGAGACACCTCCAGGCCCTGCCCTTTGAACCCTACTAGTTCACTGCACTGTTGTGAGTCACATTTGTTTCCCTGATTTTTGTGAGCTGTTCTAACAAAGGATCAAACCAGAGAGGGGGTCCCAAGATGGTAGAGGAATCGGACAGGGAGAACACTTTCTCTCCCACAAATTCATCAAAATATCATTTGAATGTTGAGCAACTTCCACAAAACAACTTCTGAATGCTGGCAGAGAACACCAGGCACCCAGAAAGGCAGCCCAATTTCTTTGAAAGGAGGTAAGATAAAATATAAAAGATGAAAACAGAGACAAAACATTGAGGGACAGAGACCCATCCTGGGGAGGGAGTCGTGAAGGAGGAGAACTTTCCACACAGTAGGAAACCCTCTCACAGGCGGGTCTGTGGGGTGTTTTAGAATCTCAGAGGGCAACATAATGGGAGAAAAACAACAACAACAACAACAACACAGACTCTGTGCCTAACTGCAGCCGCCAGAGGAGAAGCAGCCTAGATGCTCGCATCCTCCACCAGCAAGTAGGGGCTGGGCAGGGAGGCACAGGCTGAACCACTGGTCCTTAGGGTAAGGACAGGGCCTGAATGCCCTGAGGACAATCTAAGGGAGATAACATGAGACAGTAACCCAAACTGTGGGATTGCCAGGAGACAAAAATAAACCTTTCCTGCAAAATGCTTTAACTCTCAGCCTGGCACGCTCACAGAACAAAGGACTGAGTGAATACCAAAGGAGAGCTAACGGGCTGTGGGCTGTGTGTAGGCCCCTCCCGCCTCTGAAGGCAGAGAGGCAGGCCTGCTACAGCCAGGGCTGGAAGGCAAGGGGCTGCTTCAATCTCAGCCCCAGAGATGGCATCTTCCACCATACTGTGAGGCTCCCAGTTGCTAACCATGTCTTCCTGGGATCCTAGATGGTTGACATCTGCCATGAGTGTCACAGCCTGAGGTCAGCTCCCCAGAGGAGACATACAGCGCATGTGAGACGGCGCTCTTGCGGTGCCGCTGGGAAACCGAGCACCTGGGACCTGGGAGGTGATTAAGACACACGGCCCACCTGGGACAGTGCACTCACCAAGCACGTGGTCGCCTGAGCTGCTCGGACCTGGGGAGGACACAGAACACACAGCCCAACCCGGTCTGTGCCCTTGTGGAGCACCCGAGAACCTGAGCGGCTTAGACCTGGGAAGTACATAAAATGCAGGGCCCACTTGGGAGAGTGTCCTTGCAGAGCTCCATGGAGCCTGGGCATTGTAGACCCGGGAAGCACATGGTGTCTTGGACTGGGGCAAACCCAGCGTGGCCCAGACACTGCAAACACTCCCCACAGATACCAGTGAAATTTGTTTACAGAGTCCCTGCCTCCACACAACACAACTGAACAAGTGAGTCTAATAAGTGACCATCTTTGCCCCCTTCTGTCAGGGTGGAAATTAGACACAGAAGAGACTTGCAAACAGAGGAAGCCAAAATAAACAAAGGAGAGGGAACCACTCTGGAAGTGACGGGTGCAACAGATTAAAACCCTGCAGTTAATACTGACTGTGCATTGGAGGGGGCCCATAGACCTCAAGAACAAGTGCAAGCTGGAACAAGGAACTATCTGAAACTGAACTGAGCCCACACTGCCCATAACAGCTCCAGAGAAATTCATAGATATATTTTTACTATTAATACTTCTTAATTAGAAAAATTAAGTTCTTTATTACTCCTTTAATTTTCATTTTTATAACCTACAATTACCTTGCAAAAATAAAAGACCCTATTTTTAAAGCAAGTTTCAAATATATATGTGTGTGTGTTAATCTTTCTGATTGACTTTGCTTTGTATTTTTTATATTGTATTTTTGAGAGTCTAAACTCTACTCTAGATTTTTAATCTTTGCTTTTTGGTATTTGTTATCCATTTTGTATCTTTAAGAATCTAATCTTCAGTATCCATTTTCACTTAGGGATTTGATTACTGGCTCGATTGCTTTCTCCCCTTTTGAATCTCCCTTTTCTCCCCCAGGTCACCTCTATCTCCTTCCTCCCCCTTCTCTTCTCTGCTTAATTCTGTGAATCTCTCTGGGTGTTCTGGGCTGTGGAGAACACTTCGGGAACTGATTACTGACTAGATTGCTCTCTCCCCTTTTGACTTCTCCTCTCCTGGTCATCTATATTTCCATCCTACCTCTTCTCTTCTCTATGTAACTCTGTGGATCTCTGTGTGTCACTCAATTCTGTGAATTCACCACTAACCTAGTTGTTTTATCATCTGTGCTATATGAGGATACTGTAAGAGAAGGACTGAAAGACAGAGGCAGGAGGCTTAACTCCAAAACTTGAGAATGTCAGAGAACTCTTGATTCCAGGGAACATTAGTACACAAGAGCATACCCAGAAGTCTTCGTACCTACAATGAAACCAAGCTCCACCCAAGAGCCAACAAGTTCCAGTGCAAGACACACCCGCTAATTCTTCAGCAAATCAGGAACACAATACTGAGCATTTAAAGACAGGCTGCCCAAAGCCATGCCAAACCTGTAGACACCCCAAAACTCACTACTGGACACTTCATTGCACTCCAGAGAGAAGAGATCCAGCTCCACCCACCAGAACACAGACGCAAGCTCCCCAAACCAGGAAACCTTGACAAGCCACTAGTCCAATCCCACCCACAAGGAGTAGATGTCACAATAAGGAAGAATCACAAACTTCAAATCTACAGAAATGGCACACCAAACACAGCAATCTAAACAAAATGAAAAGGCAGAGAAAGATTCAACAGGTAAAGGAACATGATAAATACCCAACAAACCAAACAAAAGAGGAGGAGATAGGGAATCTACCTGAAAAGGAATTCAGAATAATGATAGCAAAGATGATCCAAAATCTTGAAAAGAAATTGGAGTTACAGATAAATAGACTAGAGACAAGGATTGAGAAGAAGCAAGAAATGTTTAACAAGGACCTAGAAGAAATAAAGAAGAGTCAATTAATAATGGGAACAATGCAATAACTGAGATTAAAAGCTCTCTAGATGGAACCAACAGTAGAATAACAGGCAGAAGACAGGATAAGTGAGGTGGAAGATAGAATGGTGGAAATAAATGAAGCAGAGATGAAAAAAGAAAAGAGAATTAAAAGAAATGAGGACAACCTCAGAGACCTCTGGGACAATGTTAAAAATCCAAACATTTGAATCATAGGAGTCCCAGAGGAAGAAGAGAAAAAGAAAGGGGATGAGAAAATACTTGAGGAGATAATAGTTGAAACCTTCCCTAAAATGGGGAAGGAAATAGCCCCCCAAGTCCAAGAAACCCAGAGAGTCCCAAATAGGATAAACCCAAGGCAAAACACCCCAGGACACATATTAATCAATTTAACAAAGATCAAGCACAAAGAACAAATACTAAGAGCAGCAAGGGAAAAACAACAAATAACACACAAGGGGATCCCCATAAGGATAACAGCTGATCTTTCAATAGAAATTCCTCAGGCCGGAAGCAAATGGCAGGACATAATTAAAGTGATGAAAGAGAAAAACCTATAACCAAGATTACTATACCCAACAAGGATCTCATTCAGATATGAAGGAGAAATCAAAAGCTTTACAAACAAGCAAAAGCTGAGAGAATTCAGCACCACCAAACCAGCTCTTCAACAGATGCTACAGGATCTTCTCTAGACAGGAAACACAGAAAAGGTTTATAAAATTGAACCCAAAACAACAAAGTAAATGGCAATGAGATCATACTTATCAATAATTACCTTAAATGTAAATGGGT